GTGCTCGCTGGTGGAGGGGTCCTTGCCCGTGTTGAGAAGCGAACCTGACATGAACAGCAACGGCGACAGCAAAAGTGAAGCCGAAAACACCATCGTCAGACACTCACTGCTGTATTGTGACATTTGCATGCGGCCACCACTGCAACTTTGAAAGCCATCTTTGTGCGAGACACACACACACACACACACACACACACACACACACACACGAACACACACACACACACACACACACACACGAACACACACACACACAAACACAAACGCACACACCAAGACAAAGACAAAGACACACGCACACAACACACACACGCACAAAGACACGACACGGCGACGTGTGGCGTACAGAGGTTGTCGAGGCTGTCGAGGAGGGAGTAGACCTTCTCCTCCCATATGATGGTCGTTGTGTCTGCCGTGCGATCAATCTGATCCCGAATCGTCTGCAGCGGTGGGGGTGGAATGGGGTGGGGGTATGGTGGGGTGATGAGGGGGCACGAATGAATGAAGAGGATGGTGTGTGTGTGTGTGTGGTTGTGTGTGTGTGTGTGTGTGTGTGTGTGTGTGTGTGTGTGTGTGTGTGTGTGTGTGTTGTGTTGTGTGTGTCTGTGTGTTGTGTGCGTGTGTGTGTGTGTGTGTGTGCGTGTGTGTGTGCGCGCGTGTGTCCATGTTGTGACTGTACTGTCGCAGTCATGTTACAAGCACTCCTTCATATCTCGAAATATCCCCCCACCCAACAATCCCACCCCCCCCCCACACACACACACACCTGCAGGAGGTCTGTGAGCGCGGCCTTGCGTTCGTCGGCGGCCATGTCCGTGTTGGACAGCGTCTTCAGAAACATCTCCATCGACGTCGAGAAGAGCTGAAGGTGGGGAAAGGTAACGGCAGCGGCGTTGAATGTGTGTGTGTGTGTGTGTGTGTGTGTGTGTGTGTGTGTTGAGAGTGAGGCAATGCCGGATGATGATCGATGGGGCGTGACAGGAGTGACGAGGCAGTCCACGCACACACTCACACACGTACACACGCACACACACGCACACACGCACACACACACACACATACACACACACACCTGGATGACGTGAGTGATGTCGTCAAGGCTGGCCATGAGGTCCTCTGATGAGCCAGCGCCATGCGCCATCATGCTGCAACAAAGACAACACGCAAAAGCAGTGAGGCCAACGAGGCTAGTGCAGGATCGCATGCATACACACACGATCGGACACACATGTACACACAGTCCAGCACACCTCGGGCGTTGAGAGACTTCGCTGCTGCTGGCAATGCTGGGCTGGCTGAACCTGCGAGGACACAGCCATCTCAGCTGTGAATGGGCGTGTTTCCGTGTGCCATCATGTGACACGCACACACACACACATGCACACTCACGCAGGTCTTCCTCAGCCTCTTCCTACACCCCCACCCACTCCCTGTCCGTTCCTGTGCTGCTCCTTTCCAACCGCTCTTCAACTTGACAGCACACATCCATAACATTGCATCCATCTCACCTCCCACGCCCGGCACGTGCCGCCAGGTGCTCGTCGTCCACGGGCTGTTGTCCCGTTGCGAACCAGCAACACAACGGCAACCGGCATAATGACGATGACAATGATGATGATGAGAAGCCACAGGTTGTAAGCGCAATCGCAAGCGCGAAACCTACACCACAACACACTCATTCACCTACTCCCTCCACCTTCTATACATATGGACACACATACACACCAGGTGGACGATGGAGGGCTGCGACGCGCGGCCCAGCAGGCGTGCCTGGAATCGCTGGAACGACTTCTTCATCGTGGAGCTTGTGTTGTGTCAAGTGCCGAGCTGCCACAAAAAGCTCCTGCTTGTGTCCCTGCAGTTCCTGCTGCGGTGCTGCTATTCTCGTTCCAACACCGTTGCAGCACCGTGCATCTGCAACGAAACGAGGAGGAGGAGGAAGAGAAATGCGGAGACGGAGCGGTGGTGGTGGTGGTGGTGAGGCAGGCAGCACAATGAGGTGTGAGCCTGCAGGTGGTGTGCGGTTGTTGTTGTTGTTTGGTCGTTGTTTGTTGTTCGCCGACCAAGACACACAGGCGATCCAAAAAAACGAACCAGCCAAAAAATAAACAGCCATGTTATTCTGCAATGTGATTTGATGCGGTTTTAGTGGCTGTTTGGATTTCTGGTTAGACTGAAATCAGTCGTCAACCAAGGCTGCACTTCCACTCTGAAGTGCGCGTTGGTGTGTGATGCTCTTCCTCACAGCGCACCTTGCGTGAGCACCGCGAGGCTAACGCCGAGGCTAACGGCGATGAAGGAACGCAACCACAACCACAACGGATACAACAAGACAACACAAGAAGCGTCCTCAATTCCTCAAGCCCCTGTCTTGCTGGCAAACACCGTCCCTATTGAAGTGGCCCACAAACGAGCAAGTCGGTGGTGTGTGATGTGAGATGGAGCGTGCGATGTGTGCGAAGGATCGTGACACGCACACGTCCAGCAGTCCACTTGCCAGACGATTCCTTTGCACGAGAGCAACTTCTGCTATTCAGCTGCCTCTAGATAAAAATAGAAGAGTGGCTTGCCTTGCATCGGGCGCATGTCACACACGCGTCCCGCAAGTGTCTTCCCATGTCACCATGCAATTGTTGTGGGATTCGCGATTCTTGTGTGGTGCGTACTCTGACTTCAGGACTTCAGGAAGGCGCAAATTGCTCTGAAAGTGCGTGACCTGACCACCGACGCAATCAAGTGAGAAGCATCCGGCAATGTGGTGCAAGCGCGCGTAATGTAACAACTCAGACACCTTTTCTACATCGTGTGCGTCTGCCACGCAAGCACGCACGGCAACAAGGTGTGCGATTGCCTTGCTTCTTCTTGGCTGATTGTTGTTTTGTGCACCGCCTTGCGCTTGCCGAAGCATTTTCCCTTTGACAACAAACACAACAAGCAGACAAGAAGAAGCACAAGACTCCCACCCGCACCACCGCTCTGGTGGTCACTCCACAGTTGTGGACTTAATGAACACGTCTCCAGACCGCATCAACTCGGGTCGCCAGACCCCCCACCCAAGCCGTGCTGCGTCCACGACGCCAGGCGCAGCACCGGCCCATGCGCTGTCACCATCGCGCGGTGCTGCCGAGGCCGCTTCACGGTCTTCGCAACAACACCAGCAGCACCAGCGTCTTCGCCTACCACAGCAGCGTGGGCGGCGTCCAACGAGCCGTTCGCTGTCCGATGAGGGCGTCACCTCAAGGGACCGAACGCCACCGCGTGACCCCTCCACCTCACCTCGAATTGTGTCAGGTCGTGGCCATCCGCACGATTTGAGGGACGAAGCCAATGCCCTGCTTGCAGATGTGGCGGGCGCCATGTATCACTTCAACGGGGAGGAGGCCCACTGCACGGGCCTTGCAGCTGGCATTGAAGGCGTTTACACCGGAGACGAGCTGGTGTATGCCCTGGAGCACCACGTCGATCGCCATGGCCGCGCTCTCCTCTCGTTTGATAGCGACTTGGAGCCGCTTCGCCGCATCCTCGCTCGCCGCGGCTTTTCCAGGGACCACATCATCATGCTCGCCATCATGCAGCGCCAACAGGTGTTACAAGAGCTGGAGCGCACTCAAGCTGCGCCCAGCAAGCCTTGCACTGACTTCCGCCCAAACGGACACTGATATGTCCATCCGTTGATAACCTTTGTTGCACCGTTGTTGTTCTCTTCAACTTCACCGTTCCATTTCTCTCGTTCCCGCACACACGTTTCTGTTCAAAGCAGCAGTGTGCCCTCCCCCATTCTACATCTTGGGGAGTGAGCACGACCTGCTTGAATGTTCTCTTGACTCTTTCTTCCATGATTGACAACCATTTTTACATTTCGCGAACCAGGCCTCGTTGATGTTGTTTCCCTAAAGGCCTTTCGTTTGCACTCTCTCTCGTTCATTGTGTGGTAGTTGTGTTTGCAAGTGTGTGTGTGTGTGTGTGTGTGTGTGTGTGTGTGTGTGTGTGTGTGTGTGTGTGTGTGTGTGTGCTAC